AGGCGGGCAGAAGATTCGTGCGGTGTGATCACGAGATGCTGAAGGGAAACCTTGGCCAGTTTCGCTCCAACTCTTGACTCGTCGTTTTTACCCAAAGCCAAGCTTCTGAAGGCATTCATGAGAATCGTGAAGTCATTTCTGTGGCCATGTTCCCCTACCAATGGATGTGTTTCGTCAATAACCCTTCCTCATCCTTCCTCATCTCTTCAGCCCTTGCAAGAAATGCTCTAGAAGTTAGCAAAACGTTTCAAAAGGTATAAACGGTTGTTGTGATGTAACGACTGCTTAGAACCATGAGTAAACAAATGTTCCTAATTCTCAATATCTCGGGGATAGGCATTTTCCACCGTTGGCACATAATCTAGTATCAAGATTTTCCAGCTCCCCTAAAAATCCGCCAGATCGCCTCATTTTCTGGTGGACAGGCGAAATTCGAACAACAGAGAGTCGGAGGGGTATTTTGGCCTAGTAGAGAAATCTTTGAGTCAGGGAGAATGATTACGAATCTCCTTCACAGAGAAGGCAACACTTTTGGTTTAGTCAGGCGCTTTTTGACAAGAAGCTGATAGATCTCATCTTCCACTTGCACTTACTGGTAACGGAACAAGGTCGCCATGCCTTTGAGCTGCACTTTGGAAATGAAATTTGTATTTTTGCCCTTAGCTTGAGAGCTGTTTTGGAGCGAAATAAATGTCATGATAGAATATTCAGTACTTTCAAGTCAATAACCCATTAACATTCAACACGTCATCGAATTTCCGATGCATTGGAGAACGTTTAATTTTCTACTTAACTACCTGAACTAGCCAGTAATCATAAGAATTGCAGCTGTTGAACATTAAAATACGAGCCATTGGATAAAGACATATAGGGGATGTACATAAAGTGCAACCGCCCATCACCGCGGCATTTTCCCGCTGCAGGCGCAGTTTCAGTTTTTGTGCCCGATCCCGATCCTTTTTTGTGGCTCTAGGATTTCTGCGCTCAGCCAAATGCCATTTCAATTTAGAACCGCTCAATTTTGTCATTCGATTCGAAGTGATGTGGTCTTTAGGTTAGGGATCGGCAAAGGCTAAATAGGTAGACCTTCAGGTACTTTTCTTTCGTGTTGGCTTCCACTTGGATAGTCTGGTCCAGCGGTCCAGCAGTCCCTTCGGAACGCCTGCGTCCCTCGGGACCACCCCGCCGGCCAGCGGCCGAGCGGGGTGGTCCCGAGGGACGCAGGCGTTCCGAAGGGACCGATCGGCCGCGGACCGGCGGATGATCGGCACTGCAGATCTTTGGATGCTTTTTCTTTCATGTTGGCTTTCACTTGGATACTTTTGATGTTCAGACGCAAGAAAGTTCGTCGAATATGTAGAGTTGCCAAGGGTGTGACTGTAGTTGGTGTGGACACCGTCATTGCTATTAATATTGTTCACTTACACAGACAGCAGCTGAAGCCTTCACTGTACAGTCTACATTTACACCTTAGAACCTTTAGTTTCCCATGGTCAGCACCTCCCTCGCACACTGGGTTTTCGCAGCTTTTGAGAAGACTAATCTGTAATTGAACAATAGCGAAGTCCGTTGGCAGAATGATGGCCCATTGAAGACTGCCAACTGTGGGCAAACGGCTGCTTAGCCTGAATGTTCCTGCAAGGTATTAATAGCAGTATAAAGGAATTTGGGAAGTTGAAATCAATAGAAAGCAATAAAAGTGAGAATCATGTGGGGAAGATTCATCCCCGAGAATCGTACACACTATAAACGGATTCGAACCACCTCTACAATTCTGAACGGATGACAAATGCGTGGCGCATTCCATGTGGGTGATTAATTGATGCCGAAAACCTAATCCTTTAGCCTTTTTGTAGTTTTTTTTTATTAAGAAATATCCACTGGTGCTGTTCACGGCTTGCAGTAACTCTGAAATTCTGTGTTTTTAACATTCTGCTGCGGCTGCTCGCTTGAATTTGAGTAATGTAGAAGTTGTGAATTGTACTGAAATCGTGTTTTAGAGTAGTTAAGTATTTATCCGATCTTCTGTTTTATTTTTTATTTTTTCGCTGTTATTAGCAAGTATACCAACCCATTGTCACTCACCTGACTATATTGGTAGAATGGGCTAATCTTGGGGACTGTCCACTCGAACTCCCATGCAGACTTCTTCTTTTCTTGGAATGGTTTAATTGAATTTGGACTTATTTGGAAAGATAAGAGCAATTACTCGAATTTGAATTCATTCGCAAAACACTCGCTAAGATCAGATACGTAGTCGGGCGACTCAATAATCCCAAGGCGAACGGGGTGCTCACGCATTTCTTCAAAAAAAAGCATTCGAAGTCGATCGCTTGGTGATTTTGGGCATTTTAAAAGCCATTTCCTTCATGCCCCTCAAAGTTCTCTGGTAATTGTGAAAGTACGGGTATAGTTATCTATTCAATTGCTTCACGCCTGGGTAGGCATTCCTCGTTCCCAAGGGCGAATCATTTGGGGTTTACCAATACACGTACTCAATCGAGAAGCATTTTTCTTCCGGCGTGGGGCTTCCACAGACGTGAAAATCCTAGACCCATATAATTCCCACCCAGAATCCCGAATGTATACTGAGCACGCCAACTTTGCCTAACAACTAATAAACTTTACTCGACTACATAGCAATCATTAGACTTGGGTCCGTGTGACGTCGTTCATAGATTGATTAATGGCATTGGCGTAGTAACGAAGCAACGAGGGTGTTGTGGTCAACATCCTACCACGGACGTCCAACTGTGGTTCCCAGATAGTTCCCATCGCTTACTGACTTACAGTTGGATATGTATGTAGGTTAGTCACGGGTCCAGAAATCCTGAGCCCTATACTTTTTCCCCGACCATTCAACCTTTAACCACTTCCGCTCTAAAGTTGTTAGCTGACGCTTTCACTGCATACAAGAAAGAAGTGCGCTTTATCGAAGTCCCCATTATCTGCCCACACTGACAGCTATGGACGAGTTATCGGGAATCGGGGGGAAGATGGAGAAGGGGAAGTAGGCGTTGAATATATGTCAATCCCACCTTGAAATCTGAAGTGCATCATTTTATCTCAATGGGCAGGGTACGAATCTAGCTAATTGCTCGGGAAGCAGTGAGTTGCCCATTTCATTTTTTCACTCGCCAGGGAAGCTAAATTTTCCAGAATCGGCGGCTTAAATGTAGCCCTCCTGATGTGTGCCAGGCTGCCACTATCATGTGGGCGAAAAAGTTCTACCATTACAGTACTCCCAGAAGAATTAGTTTAATTAGATACTTCTATTTACGTCAATCCACTCAGTAATGCATTCGTCAGGGACGTCTTGGGTTGGGAGATCGATGATTTTCGGATTAATCAGTAATGCATTGCATCTCATACCCACACATTCGGTGTCCGATCCCCCAATGCATTTAAAAACCGAGCATCTCTTTACTCCCTGCCCAAGTTTACTTGTAACCAGGGTGATCGCCGAGTTATTTATGGTAGTCCCATTTCTATTTACGTCATAGACTCTGCCACTCGTCCTCGGCTCTTCATTAGACGTTTATTTATGATTACGTTTTCGAGCTCACCAACCATCAACATCACCTGGGCTCACCTTCATTTGCTCATTTGCCTAAGTCATTCAGTTATATGATCCCTATTTTTAGTATCTCCTCAGTAAACAGAGATACTTCGCGTTCCAATGACCAAAGATATGCAGGTAAAGTACAAATCTCCTACCATATTACCAGGGGAAGCAGATGTTCGAAGAACTTCGTCACCCCACAGAGCTAGCCTGCTGAGTGACGACTTCATCTTTGGAAATGCCGTCGATCTTGTGCTCTGTGCATTTTTCTGATTGAAATAGAGCCGTCCATTGCCAACCCGTCTTTGGTGCTTCCACCTTCCTAATTCCACGCTATGACCATGAAATGAAAAGGTTTCAATGTAGGCTGTTCCAATGTAGCTAGTTGTCTGGCGTTGATCAAATCCGTTCCTGGGATCCGCCCACGCATTCGGTTCCCATTTGAAATCGCACTGGCGGCTCGAATGTGACGGAACCTATATACAAGATTTGTGGTGGCCAGTCGATGTACAACTCAGGCTTTCATCCTCCCAGTCGATTCTGGCACCAATTCCCCGACCCCGAAGGTGGGAGAGGCTTCGTTGGTATTTGCGGATATCATTTTGGGATTAGATTCCCAAAACACGCATATGACAAATGGTTCCATGTGACGGTAAGGATCATAAATTATTCTTTTCATTACTGTATTCAAATACCTTATGTACCCAGTAGAACCAGCTAGATAGAGAGGAAATCCATAAGTGCTGAGACATTTCCAACGCCCAAAAGTATCATCCCACAAGCTTGTTTGAGTGAAATTCACATGATGCCTATCGGTCCCTCCCCTCCACCTCTTCCTTTCCGTCCTTTCCCCTCTGATGACGTTTTAAGGAGTGGATGATGGGTTGTGGCATTTTAAGGCTGAAATTTATGAGAGTCGTACTAAGAAAATGAGAAATACTCTTAACCATGCTTGATCGTGTTCCGGCCCATAACTTACAGCTCCTTCTTGCAGCTGGTAGGGGTTCAAACATCGACGAATGAGGGTCGTCCTTCCTAATGTGCTTCTTCGTCTGGTTCACATATTAGCTTTCAAGGTCCCATATGCATTTGAAATTTAATGGCCCAAAACGGAACTTGAAGGGTGCACACTTGATTAATGCTCAGCATTTTCCTTTCATAATTCATTTTCGAATGCAGTGCCGACCGCTTTTGTCAGATCCATCCCTTTTCCTCAGCTTGAGGTTTCCGATCCCATGGAAGCTCTACCCGCTAGGCAGCTCCGGCATCTCTATCTCTCTAACGGTCATTTGAGCTTTTTCAGTTATCATAGCTAGAGTCGCTCACATGAGTTTAAATTCATCCTGTCCTACTTGTGTGACATATTTTGTAGAATTTCGCTGAATTTTACACCCGCTATTGCTCAACTTCAGTAATCGATAACTATGATTTGTTCAGAATGGGTGGTGATAGTTCAAAATTACGCTCATCAACAAGTGTCCATGAAAAGCTGCCGGCTATCCGTCTACCCGGTTCGGCCAGTTACTACGAAGGCATGTACAGTGAGTTGTTTTCATACATTTATTTCCGCATTAAAATGTGTCGTTGGTGTTAATCCCGTTGCCGTAGTTGCTAAAGTGGGATAAGACCGGATTGCTCCCATTCATAAGCAGATGTTCTGGAGACGTTTCGTTTTGTTTTTAGAGCGAAGCAAATCTATTAAGGAATCTACGCACGTAGCATGAGATCAGCAATTCAGGAACTAGTTCCCGATGGGGGCGGAAGCAGGGTTATGGAATAGTGAAGCACCAATTCGCACCTATTTGCCTGACTCCTGCCCGAATCTCGCGTATGCCATTCAAGTCCTAGAGGGGTTATTCTGACGCGTTCCTGAGTTATTTCGACACACGCATGGATGACGAAAAGGTTCAAAATAGTGCAGTAAATTGATAGGAAAAATAGAAAAGCCATTATTTGATTGGCTCTTTTCCCGGGTGAATTAAGATTTCATTTTGACTCCCAGGCTCTCAAGATAAATAAGATCAGTGAAGAGAAGGACAGGTTGGGAAAAATTGGAAATCAAAGGAGGAAGTCTTATGAATTCTTTGGAGTTCCTATGCCCATAAGATGAATGCCTTTGAAAATCTCATTAAAGTCGACTTTTTTTTGGTAACCAGTGACCCCGCTCTAGTTGTGGGTAAGTCCCATGAGAGCTATTATAAACCCACTTTCTGAAATGAGACCTTTTGCATAACCATAGGTCTGAGCGTATTCGAAACTCGAGGAGCGATCTTTTCCTATTCGAATGTTTGTAGGTCTCAGAAACTGGGATTTAATGGGCCTGTGTTGGATAAACATGATGATTTCATTGACAGGAAGCAAGTGAGGTGGAATGACCTCAGAAAGAAGGATGGAGCGAGATGAGCGAGAATGATGATCTTAATAAAGAGTCTCGAATTAAAGACGATGCCAAAAAAAGAGGAGCGGACGTCGTGTTCAGATTAATTCTGGGAAAAACTGGGCTCCATGTTATCGTTGATTTGGCTGAGGCTCCATGTTAGCGGCTTTAGAATGAAGGAATCGTTTGCCAGAAGAGACGTACCAGGCTCGTCAACTGGGTTTAGGTAGTTTGGTTCAATTGAAGTAAAGAAAACAGGCTATATTAGCGTAGTCCCGATCTACTCACCACATGTGGCGGCTTTTAGCTAGTTGTCTCGCCGCTCGCCATAGGTTTGATAGTTGTCTCGCCAAGCGGCAAACCGTATGGTACTAGAGCTTATACCCCAAAAGAAAGAAGGCAGTGCTATTGTCCTTAGTCCTATGCCCGCTCAATCAGTCACCTCCCAGTCATATGACTCGGTTCAGGAAAGTAATAAAAAACTAACTTCGGAAAAGTAAGTGTATTACAGAAGATTGTGATCCAGTAAATCGAGTACGGAATGGCAGTTCAAGTAGTCGAGGTGGCACGAAGCATCCGTTGTCGGTTAAAGCACGGCGACTGATTACGGTGAGTGAACAGGCCCATTTAGCCAAGCTTGGCCTTTTATGGGATTTCATATATTTTGTATCTCAATTTAAATTGAATTCTCTCTTTTTTTATCGTTGATCTGCAGCTCCGATTCAAATGAGATTGTTTCAGTGCCATCTGGGAATAAGGGTTATAATTTCTAGTGTGGTGTTTTTCTGAAAGAGCGCCTATGGCCATTGCGCCAATCATTGGAACTATTCCAGAGTTGCTTTGCGAATCCTCACGAAATGGTTGGTAAACGGATCATGAAACGGTCATGTGATTTGAAGGACGAGTTTGCCACCTTCTATACCTCTTTGGAGTTGGAGCAACGTGAAGATTTAGAGGATAGCATCAAGATTCTCCTTAAGAAAGTTGTCACGAATATCGATTTTGTCGACGAGGTTAGTCTGAACATATTCGTAAATTATTGGCACGGAAACAACAAAAGCATTTCTCTTTTGTGGTTTTGTGATAAACAGACTCTTCTACGCTCGTAACAGACAAGCTGTCGGGGTAATCCCCAATCCCGAAAACTCGTCCACCATTGGTCCTGGTAAATATTGCCAGCGTTCAAGTTATGCTACAAGAAAACATGGGACTGAAAAGGAAGGTATCAGTGGAGTTATCCGGAAATACCGTGGTACGGGACTTTATTTCGAAAACACTGGCTGAACCCCGTCCTTGTAGGATGTCGTAGCATCCCTAGTGTGCAAGTTAGGCCGGGTATCTTCCTACCAGCACCCAGGTCGGCCGTCTCAGAGCAGACTTTCTGAAGGACCACCCGTTTCGTCTACGGTACCGCGAGGAAACGAACCAGGCTAGCCAGTCAGTCATAAGGGATCATTAATAGAGACGTCCTGAGTGTCATCGCTTTCAATGATGGATGACTTCCTTACTTATTTCTTATTCCATTTTACCCTTCCTGATGCCCTATTCATGACCCATATCCATTGAAACTCATTTGCATTCTTGCTTTGGAGTAGCAAATGAATAATTCCGTCCGTTCTAGCGTATACGCTCATAAACTGCGTCAACAGCTTTGCGTCAATATACGTCTTGCACATTTTTTGAATTATTTATCAGATAATGTCTAGGCATGTTATGTACTAAAGGCCGAATGGTCGATTAGCGCTGGTTCTTTTGAATATAAGAGATCGTATGATGTAGTAATTACTTGTGGAGCGATATCATTGAATAGAATAAAGTATCATTATATTATAACATATCAATAACAACTATGAGAATCATGATTTTCAGGTGACACGGTTGTCAGAAGAATTCGGTCAACGCTTTGTCGAGCTGCGTGCCCAAGGCTTTCGAGCGGATTATTTTGCCATTTTGGCCGATGCCACTATTAAGGAATGTACACATTTGGATTCAGCCGTGCACAAAGCTCACACAACTACTCAGGCCTTCTCCCAATTCGGTGCAATGGTAGGTATTTCGGTTTCCAATGTTCTTTTTTCAATCGTGCCCATAAATGTTGCACTCAGAAACGTTGCCTAGGCTTCGGAGGGCTAGTTTGGGATGCACTGTGAGTAAGGTTGCCAACCAAGAACAAAGGGTGACTCTGATCTTGCGTATTTGACTTACCCAACTTGTATGATCGACCTTTATTGTCAAGACTGTGTTTTTAGCCACTCGGGCTAATTTTGTTCTGAGTTCTAGCGTTCGGAGAGGGGTGGGGGCTTTTGTACTGTGAATGTAGCACTAAAAAGTATGAATGGTACATGGTCACATCAGGCCCATCGGACAAATAGTCACAATAGTAAAGCTGGGGTAGTGGCAGATGGCGTTGTATCCATGCGTATGATCCGAGAAACATTTCTAAAAAGGTCATACTCTCTCAATCCGACCATACCTTTCCTCTTTGGGGCGCATGTGATCAGTACCAGTCTCGTATCCAAGGATAGGAGGTCTGATTCCCTCACCAACTCATTTCAT